ATAAGCCATCGGCCAAGATTCGAAAAGCACTGGACGAGCAAAGTGTGTACAGCGTGATCTCTCGGTTGCTGCATTCAGTAACCATGAATATTTTATACCTTTTTTATGTTTTGAATCCTACCAATCAAGGTATTCTTGTGGGGCAAAATATCCACGCTAGTGGTTAGATCTAGTCCACCAATAGGTATTTTATGTAGGTATTCCATGGATGGATCTATCTTCCTCCTCCCAATTCGGCAATCGATTTTGTATGAGCGTGCAATAAAGGGAAAAACATTCTTTTTTGTCTTAGGAATGGTGTGTGAGAAGATTTTCATATGAAAAAGCCTTGATTGATTGAACATAATTAAAGATGATGAACACACCGACGATACACAAAACATGACGCTAGGAAAACGAGCATAGATAAAGTCGATACGTAGTTCATAAGTCGATGAAAGAAAATAAGTAAAGAAAACAATACGGTGAGAAAAACAACTGAAAGAAAGGGTTGAATAAGACGTGATTAAGAAGGATTAAAAAGATCATTGCTGCGTCAGTAGACCCATATGCAATCACGATATAAAAACACTTTTAGTCAAGGGTCTGAAATCCCAGATGAATGCTACTTCTGACTATATGATTACAGAATGTGAAAGATGCTGACTAAGAATAAGTCCATAACATATTACTAAAGTATCATCTCTTCTTATGCCATTTTTTTCAACAACTTGTCAACCAACGATTTAAAATCTGGATCTTTTTCTGTGAGCACTTCTTCATATTTCAGCATTGCCTCACTGTAACTATCGACTGCTTCTGGACGCTTTTTTTCTCGCATATATTTATCTCCAATATCAATGTGCAGTTGTATAACATCTTTGAACAGGTGAGAAAATAACTCTTTGCCATCATCCCAGCAAACAAGTTTCACTTTTTTAAAATTACGACTCCATTTCTGATGCCGGTCAATGTCACCACAATGGATGTAAACAGCAGTAAGCTGTGGTAGATCATGAACAGTCGGCACGAGTTGTTGACCGAGTTGACCAGATGATATTAAAAAAACATGTTTTCCTCGACATTCGCTTCGTAAAAGATTTTCACAGTCATTTGCGTTGTGATAAAACTTCCACAGTGATGGAGCGGCGAGGTTTTTATACTTTTCGCGTTCTTCGCCTTCAAGATACGGATCAAGCCGAAGAAATATGATTTCTTCGGTTTCTGGCAAAGTGTCTGACGGTTGATTGTTTGATGTGGGTTCGGATTTCGGTAACGTCTTGTAGGATTGTTGTGCATTTTGTATTTTAGAATGTAACGAAGTTGCGGTATTCCGAGCAGACTCAGATTGAGACTGAAGACTGGGAATTGAGGGCAAAGTAATAGACGAGGAAGTTGAGGGCAAAGTACTAGACGAGGAAGTTGAGGGCAAAGTACTAGACGAGGAAGTTGAGTTATGAGTTCCTCGTGCGTCAGATGTCATTGGTGCATAGAAACTTTGAGGATTAAAATTGTTGGCCATATCTGAAATGATACTTTCACATTAACGGTTTTCATCGTATTACGTAGTCAGTATTGACGAAAATGGATGAAATTAGGATAAGCAGCATGAAAGGATACAGTGTGGGAAAATGATTAAATGATATGTGCATACCCTAGTGAAGTATTTTTTCTCAAGCACATGAGGAAGCACATACCTCAAGATTTGTCTCCATGCACATGAAGTTCTTACTCATGCAAAACGCTTGAGATATGTGCTTGACTTTCTTGTCTCATGTGCTTGAGTTGCTTGAAGTATGCGCATGAGAGAAGAAATATCTAAAACAATGTGCATACCTCAAGAAACTCAACCACATGAGACAAGAAAGTCAAGCACTTACCTCAAGAAAGGCCTGTGCATATCTTAAGAAAGTCATGGATTATCGATTTTCCGTGCATAGCTCTAGCTTCATTTTTTAGACTTGATTACACCATACTTCACTTGCACTTTTCTTCGAGAACATGATGCAATCAGTTTTTTAGTCTTTCTCGACCATCTGGCACTCTCAATATGCAATAATCTTTATCTACAAAGGAAAATAAGTCGTTTTCAATGAAAAGTGCATGACAGTTCGAAACGAGTACACAGCAATTTTGACTTTCTACTATTCACTCCACCTTCTAAAATCTTCATGTTATCTTTTGTTATACTGTTGAATATAATTTTCCGATAATCTGTGATGTGTTTGATGGAGAAAATGTTCCTTTCGATGTCGATGTCAAAGCAGATCGAAAAGACAAGACAGAGAAAAGTTTGGCTCCAGAAAGTTAAGCGCATGAGATATTGAAACTAAATTTTTTGAAATCCAGTTCGTAGACAAATCGGTCCGCAATTGAAAGGTTGACTACGTCCGTCGCTAAAGTATCATCTTTTCTCAGTGGTTTGTAGTATTTCAGTGAGAAAATATATCGACACTCGTTTTTTCCTTTTCTGTTGAGAATTTCTGTTTTATGTTTTATATGATAACATATACAAGCTTGAATATTCTTCTCTTTCTCTTTCTCCTTCTCCTTCATCTTGCAACAGGTCTATTGCGTGATCAATAGAAGAGTATACTATTTCTGTTCTATTAAGAAAAAAAATTTCTCTTCTCTTCTTGCAGTCCAAAAAAAGATAAATATTATGATCCATAGAATATTAGATATACTATGAAAGAACCAATCACAAGGTTGATAAATATATCTGTTATAGTCTCATTTTTAGGTTAAAATCAATCTAATCCTTTTAATTCCCGCAGTTTTATGGCTTAAAACAGCCTGATTGCTCTTTTATTTCGAAAATCTCTTTATTTCGGCAGCCATTTTGTCATTTTTACATAGTTTTGGATCTGACGGCTAGCCTTTTTCAAAATTCCTGCTAGCCGTCAATTTGACGGCTGTTTTTGACGGCTAGCGGAAAACAACCTAATTGCACAATGTACGTGCATGATTCATTTTATTGACTTGATTGATAAGAACTTTTTTCTTCTCTATTCCACCCGTCGAGTCTTGCTCTTGCGCATCATTGGCGCAGACGGAAATGTAAAATGTTAAATGCAAAAACATTCATCTCTCATAACACAGGTGAGATTGATCGACGGCTCTGCGAGAAGAAGCGACATCATTTGACGACTGTTTTTAAAGAATTCTTTTCTTTTATCATCTCTCCAAGTCAATGTTAGAGGACAAATCCATGGCGACAAACCAAATGCAAACATTGCGATGTCTGTTGCAACTCAAGGAAATTGCGGGGAGGAAACGTATAAATTGATCGACACCTTGCCCCTCGCCGTACAAACTATTCGAAGCAAAAGAAGGACACGATCGATTCAAAGGTGAAAATTAATTTCTTCGTCTTCAGTCTGTCAGTTCCTTCAAGCAATCAATCGACTTTTGTTGAAAAGTTCGATATACGTGGGGCACTCCAAAAGTTTTTTCGCCAGCCCTGCACTGTAAATTCATGTACCCCATTAGTGGGTGACTGCGCTAATTCATTTAGAAAAGTGGATGAATTTCATCCACATTAGTGGATGACGGTCACCCATCTGATTAACAGTTTTCACTCTTTTAAGTGGGTGATCTGAAATTCACCCATATAAATGAATGAAAATCATCCTGTTAATTGGGTGAATTTCAGATCACCCACTTAAAAGAGTGAAAACTGTTAATCAGATGGGTGACCGTCACCCAGTAATGTGGATGAAATTCACCCACTTTTCAAAATGAATTAGCGCAGTCACCCACTAATGGGGTACATGAATTTACAGTGTTCAAAATGAACCACCCGCCAACAGCAAAAAAGTGCTTCCCTTTTTGATTTTTCAGTCGTCGATAAGTCATAGATAAAAGCTTGTGTGGCTAATTCTTTTCGTAAAATTAAAATTGGAAAAAGTTTATTATCGAAAGACAGAACTTCTCTAAAACTCTGAATCGGAAACGTTTTAGTCATTTTGCAGTCGATCTCATTGTTGAGGTGTTGCTGGGCAACAATGGAGTAAAGTAAATATATGAAAAAAAATCTACTGTTCTACAGCAGTAAACCATGGAACTCTTGATTGATTAAGTGTTCTTTTTAACATACAAATGTTTTTCCATTAATTTTTTTCCAGTCGAAATCAATAGCATGAATAGCGAGTGGCGTGTGCAAGAGACATGTCTCGCCCTCTGTTCTTCTGATATGCTTCTTTATTCGTTGTTTTTTTTCTTTGTCAAGTAGACAGAGAAAAAGTCTGTACGAGTGACGCTCTTTATACTGGTGAGAAAATTTTATAGGTTACAAAGATAAAGAACAACAATTTTAAAAAAAAATCGTACGGATGCAACGAAAATTGTCGAACATGTATATAAAAGAATTTTCTTACACATTGCTAGATTTTGAGAGAAGAAGAAACTGTGTTTTTGAGAATATTGGAAATTTCCAACATTCTCGGAAGTGCCTGCTCCTCTTCTCTCTATGTGTACCTGTATGAATAATAGATAAAACATATTGCAATCAACTAAAGGTATCCACATCTTCCGTCTCTATTTCCTTAATTCAATCTTGTTGCAACCGATCAAGTACAAACTTCAGTTTTTAATCAGATTGCTGGAGAAAATAGACGTTCTATCACTTGTAATGAAAATTCATTCTTTGTATGTGTACCATGTTTTTCTCTCCTTTTCTGGTAAGGTTCACTTCATCAAGAATGAAAATATTTTCGATTCAGTTTTGTATACAAAATTTCCTAGATGCAGTTGACACATATTTTAATTGAAGGCAATAATGTGGTGACTTTCTTCTAGATACGAAATTAATTGTGAATAGGGATATGGCCGCTGTTGCTACTATTTCCAGAGTTCCATCTTCGTTTGTTTATGAAAATTTGGTTGATCAAGTTCAAGCAATTCAGAATCATATAGCGAACTTCGAAAATGTACTGAACAATAAACTGGAAAATGAAGAGAAAAAACAAACTCAATTGAAATGTCGTTCCATTACGTTTATTGATCCTTATGGGAACCAAATGGCCGTCGAACATATGGATCATGAATCGATCAGTACTATAGTAAAGAAATACAAGAAAAATTACATACCAAAATTTTTGCAACAGTGGATTCAAGTTGGTACCATGGATCAAGATAATATCGTACCATTAACTGATTGTCAACTACGATCAACTGTAGGCGAACAAGAAAATAGTTACCGATTTGTTACATATGGTGAACTAACTGTATGGTATGGAAGTTATCAGAATTCCACTTCTGAAAAGCGTGTACTAAACCTTCGATTAATCGATAGTCTGGAGAAAATCCAAATGATAATTACTCAACAATGTCCTTTTACCAATCTTGAAGTAAAATCACATATAGTAAATCAAGGCGCAACACCAAACAAAAAAGATTGGAATGAAGGTAAACCACTCAGATGGGAAGATACCATTATGTCAGGTCAATTATATGAAAATAATTGTGTTGTAATGATAAAAGACAAGGTAAATAGTTCTCTCCGATTTTCTCCTGTAATCTTACATCGGCTTTTCTTTTCTACAGACTGAAGCTATAGATTCGACTTGGAGTTTTCCAATATATATTAGAGCTCTAAATGGAAAAGTTTTCAGATTATTTGTGAATTCTTCGAAGACTATCGAAAATGTGAAGAAATTAATACAAGATCAGGACGGTTGCCCTCAAGATCAACAACGTCTTATATTTTCTGGTCAACACTTAGAAGACGCAAGAACGATTGCCGACTACAACATAAAAAAGGGATCTACGATGCAAATGGTACTACGCTTACGAGGTGGAATGTATCATTTTACCAGCGGTCGACAAGGCTTTGACAATTTGCCGTATGGTGGCGCCGATGCAGTGAAGAGTGTGCTTGCGTTCAAGCTTAAAGATATGGATGATGCCCGTCGTTCGTCATCAGCTGAATTACAAAAATCTATTTTACAAGCACAAGCTGTTCTGTCCACTCTGCATCGTACAATGAAAGATTTTTATCCACCAGATTTGAGGAAAATCATGCTGCTGACTAAGGATAATGATGATGATGATGATGATGATGACGATGACAGCGATGATGATGACGATACTTCAAATGAACAATGACATTTACCCATTCAAAATCAATTGCGAGTGTATCGATTATTAGAACGTGATGTTCTCAAAAATTTACTTATTCAAGAAGAACAAATGAGACTTAGTGCCGAAACACAACATTTATTGGCTAGTATTGAAGATCGGACAGATATTGATTGGATGGATATCATATCGGGTTTACAAACAAAACTCATTACTGAAGCGATCGGTGAGAATGCGACAGAAGATGAAGTTCAACATGGTTTGAGGTAAATCAGCAAAGAGTAGATTCGAATCTTATTTTGAGAAGAATATTTTCAAAAATTTTAAATTATTTTTGTTTTCTAGAATCATCCGAAGTGCTCAACAATTATATGCCAATGATGATGAATTTCGTACATTATCTCTTTACGTTCGATATAATCGTGCTCGAGTGGGTGATTTAACAATGGGTGATCGAGCAATTGACATTGATCTATTGAATATGGATGGTGAATTTGTTTCTTTATTCTCTCAACATCGAAATCGACCTTTATTGATTATTGCTGGTTCCTATACTTGACCACCATTTTGTGGCCTAGTGCCACAATTGAATGAACTGATGGATTATTATCAAGGTCGTGCGGATATCGTCACTGTATACATTGAAGAAGCTCATGCAACTGATGAATGGTAAGTCGAAAAGAGAAATAATTTATCTTACAATCGAATACATAATCAATTAATCGATTTTCTAGGCCAATTGGTAGTCGTATATGTTATCTGCAACCGAAATCAGATGCTGATCGAATTCGTATTGCCGATGATTTTATAAAATCAACGGGATATCGCATTCTATTGTTGATTGATCCTGTTTCACGAAATAATCCATTCAGTCAAGTCTATGCTCCATGGCCGATTCGATTCTATGTGATCGATCAAATGAAGAACCTCTCATATATTGCTCAACCAATTCAAGGTTCATTTCCATTGGAATTCATCAGAAATGCATTAGATCAAGCTATTGTACAACAGTCATAGACACTCGATTCAACGATAATAGTTTGTGATCGTGGTATTGAAAATTAAATGATGTTTTTCGCTCAAAGCATAACTGTTATGAGGGTGAAAAGCTGATCTCCTTTCGATACCACAATAGTATCAATTATCGATTAAATGTGTGTTCCATCCATCATGTTCTATTACCTTAATACTCATTTTGAAATGTTCATTTTCAGTTATTCAGTTCAGACAAAACAGAATTTTGTTGTATATTGTTTTTTTGGCTTAAAATACACGAAAAGCGTGAAATTACGATATTTTCTATAATCAAGCCATTGAGTATCGGTACAAGCTCAAACTTGTGTCAAAGAAACTTAGGTGCAACAAGTCAGGATTATTGAATGGCTAACATGTTGAAATCTGATGTGAATCTTAACTGTGGTATTCGGAAAACTCTAAAATGACTCCATACAGAAATTCTACACATGGTATCACCACGTGTCACTAAATCAATAGCGTTCGAAAGTTGTTTCATGATGTTGTGTCATTAATAAAAAGGTTTGTTTGTCAGCCTTCTTTCGCACAGTTTTTCATTTCGGATTACGCACGGCTAAAGGCACACAATCACTGCTCTTCTCTTCGGATTGTCGCATGTCTCAATGAAACTCGTGTGTCATCCCAAGATTAGTTCAACTGCCTTTTTTCTTCAATCGATCGTTATGACGACATCGAATGATGTAGTGATTCTATTTTAAAAGTACAATGTGACACGAAATCTGTCTACTGGTATATATTTTTCTTCTGTTTTCGAAAGAAGGGATGAATTTCTCGAATTAAAATTAAACTAATTAGAGAGAACCCATTTCCAAGTTTTATACTACTGTACATTGACTGTACACTTCTTCATCAGTATAGATTTCATCTTTTTTGTAGTTATATAAAGGAAAAAACAACAACCGGAGTTGAAACCGAGTTGGAGTTGCATCACAAATTTAAAAACGGAGTTGAGGTTAGAATTGAGCTGGAATTAAACTTCGGCGGAATTACCCAGCCCTGCTATGCACGACTTACAACAGAAGTCCAAAGTTGAAACAAATATTGCGGCAGAATATAAAGACGCGATATTTATATACACGGTTGGAAATAATATTATTCCAGGGGAGTACAGCTCATACCTCAAGAGATATGAAAATGAGTTTCATACCATTATGAAAGCCCGCAAAAAACGAGATTTAGGAGTGTAACTGATCCTTCATAAGATGACAATAGGCTATAGAAATACGAAAAGTTTGAAATTGTAGTGGTATAATTGACAGCTTTCACTGGTAGTTAACCAAAAAACATAATGTTCTCGAAATTTTTTTTGTCGATTGAAATTTGTAGAACTCCCTACATTGATCATTTTGGTAAAAAAATTTAGAACTTTGATCGATAAAAGACGGTGCTAGAGTCAAAATATCCATAAATATATCAACTGTATGAGTCAGAGTAGTGTGAGGTTTTCAGTATTTTGACCCTAGCACCACTTTTTATCGATCAAACTTCTAAAATTTTTTATCAAAATGATCAGTGTCGGGAGTTCTACAAATTTCAATCGAGAACTTTATGTTTTTTGGTTAACTACCAGTGAAAGCTTTCAATTATACCACTACAATTTCAAACTTTTCGTATTTCTATAGCCCATTATCATCTTATGAATGATCAGCTACACTCATAAATCCCGTTTTTCGCGGACTTTCATAGGGTATGAAACTCATTTTCATATCTCTTGAGGTATGAGCTGTACTCCCCTGGAATAATATTATTTTCAACCGTGTATAAATGCGTCCCCAGTATCTCAGTAGAAGAACCCATGGATTATCATGAACAACTCAACAGGTTCGAGCCCTAAACGGACCGATTTTTTTAAAAAATCCTTTCTTGTTCATGATTGCTTAAACCTCAAGAAAATTGCTGAGGGAACCATCGCGAGTGGTTAGAAAAAATTTTGCTCTAAGAATTTCATAAGAACTCAGTAAGAAACTAATAAGAACGTTTATCGCTTTCTTATGAAATTCTTATAAGATTCTTACTCGATTCTTAACTGATTCTTACGAAATTTGTGCAACTTTCGGGCCATTTTTTATATAAGAATCTGTAAAATCCGACAAGATTCTTAGCAACAGCAGATAAGTAGCTGGCAAGATCCTTACCAGATCTCTGTCCAATTCTTATATAAAAATTGATATACAGGGCAAAAATATTCTTCAAATTTTGGTCACTTCTAATCCTGTAGAACCATTTGACCAAACACAAAATATACTGTTCGATAGAACTTGGACAAAAAGTCGATTCTAATAGGCAGTCAATTTTGTTTTCGTTATCCTGTATCGAAAGATATTGTTTTTTATTATCAAAGGTTTTTTTCTGAAAATTCGTGCTCTTAGAAATTTTACCATAAAAATTTTTATGATTCATATTGTCTTTCGCTATATACATTCTGAGTAATAAATTACCACGGTGCTAACAGTAAATGCTTGCAACTCAGTTATAAAAACACCTCTCAACCATTACACGGTTGAGATTGATTGACTCTTATAACCATTACACGGTTAAAGTTCTTTCTCTTATTTCTTTACTAGAATTTGTTTGTTTCGTTGAACAGTACTGTAATGACATTTGATCGTGTCTATATCCATAAACGAACATAGTATACCGTCTTGTATCGAAGCATAACTGTTGCGGTTTTGTATATAATTTTCGTCTTAACAAATAATGATAATAGACATATTTGACTTGGTTATAATATTCTTTCATAGTGTAAATACAGACTGTACGAAATCGTTGTCCAGCTAAACAGTAAAAGATGAAATTTGTTGCATTATTCATCTGAAGTAGAAGTACAGAAACTTGATTTCTCAGAAAGAGCAATTTTAATTTCCGACTATTTTGATCTTTCGGCCGATATAGTTGTGCGATATAATCGACAATAGCCGGTGTTGTAAACAAGTAGAACGAGAACGAGACGGCAATTAACATGATAGTCAATTGACGCTGTTTACGATTAAAATTGACATCGTTTATTCGTAATGACGACTCACTCAGCCGTCTCAATGCTTGAATGCGACATCGACGTTTGGTAAATAATCCGTAGACAATGAATAGATTTGATAATAATAAAAGATCAGGAATAAAATAGAAGATAAGCGGTTTGTAGATACGAATTATTTTTTGCAATTTAGTTCGAATCATACATTTTTTACTGTCAAACGCTAGTTCATAGACCAATGGAAATGTCGTACAGAAGAAAACAAGAGAGAACACGATTAAAATGTAAATACTCAAACGAGCAATACGAATTGTACAAAAACGTTTTAATAAAAATGGCCAATGAACAGCAATACAACGTTCTAAAATGGAGATGACATTATTGTGGGAAGAAACGTTTAGAATGCCACTTATAAATTAGTTAAACACTGATAATTATGCTTTATCTGAGATTCTCTTACCTAATGTAATAATGACGAGTATCCAAATACTGCAAAATGTGACCAGATCAGTTGCAAATATAATAAAACAATGTAGGATTAAATTACGCAGATAAAAATGAGCAATACAGATAGAAACCATATGCATAACTAACACTGATATATCAAATAATGCCAAATAAGTGATAAATACACTCGATGATGTATTTTTCAACGGTTTTCGATTAATAATGATCAATACAAACATATTTCCTAGTAGACCACCAATAGCAATAATAGAATTGATAATTAACATGTGATAATTTACACGAGATATATACAGCATCATCTCGTGTCGAAGGGTATAATTTACATAAGAGCCGTTGAGCCATGATTTCGATAATGACCAATTTACCAGTAGTAACACTACACTAACATTTGATGAGGGGTACATTTTAGACAATCTAAGTATAAACAAAAAAATATTTAGAGAACGAACATTTTTTTCTTTAGATGAAACGAACATTTCTATTAGGATGAATGTTTTTTAGAAGAACATTAAATTATCATACATAAGACTTGTAAATTAATCAGGACTATACTATTACTAAAACCAACAGATGTGACTGTTTTGTGTATGTTGAACGAAAGATGATAGAGATCCGCAATTTTTGGCATTCAAAATACGAATTCATTTGTAATGTCATCGTTTTTCTTCCATTTTCTGTTGGTCCTACGCAGTTGCTACTTTTCCTCATTTCTTATGTTAACGAGAAACTGGCGTCGCCTACGATCACCGTCGATAAACGAATATTTTCTGCTTGTATCAGCAGAAGGCATGTTTCTATAAACTAAAAGGTTTTCAGGTATGCTGCCGAGGTGGAGTTTTTGGGCAATCTTTGCAAAACCACATGATGTCTCAACGATTTCCAATAGGAATATATTGTCTTTTTTCATGGACAGACAGCCGAAAGTGTCTCTTTATAAAATTGAAGTCAAGCGCACTCTAAATTATCAGCGGTTCAGGCGTGATATCAGCTTTTCTTGATGGTCCAGAACTAGTACCCGGCAGAGCCCTGTAAGGGCTGGACTCAAAGTTTCAAGACCATGGACTGGTTTGGACTCGGAAAAATTTTAGATGGACTTGAATCGAGGAAAAATCGGCAAACGACAAGTTGTTTTTGTTTACTTAAGGGCCCCCCTCAGAAATTGTAATTTTCTGTAAAAAAATCGGTTGTGAGATAAGCACATAGAAGGGTAGCTTGAAGTGTCTACTTTCAGAATCTGTATTGCTTTTGGTTACAGAATTGACTTTTCGGGAGTTTTGAGCAAGTTTTCTAGGAGCCTCGGAAAATCGGATCTTCAAATAATAGCTTTTTTCTGGATACTTATACAATTAAAATTTTTCTGAACACATAGACTTGTAGAGCAAACGTTTCTGATCAAAATAAGACTTTGCACAACTATGTATGACCTTGCATCAAAAAGTTACAAGCGTTTTCCTACAAGTCCTGAAATTGAGTATTTTATACAGCATTTTCACTATGTAATAGTTACACTTGAAGTATTTCCCAAGGTTTTTAGTAGCGGTTT